TGATCGAAAAAGTTCCGAACTATTCCGGAAAACCCCGATTTTCTCCGGAAAAAATTCGGAAAAAATTCGGAACTTTTTCGGAAAGTTTTACGGACTAAATCGGAAATTTTCGGACATTATCAAATTTTTCAGACATCGGATTTTTCGGGCGTTGGAATTTTTTTCGGCAAAATCGGATTTATTTTTATTATCTACATACATATGTACATAAAAATTGCATCACATCAGTTTACGGTAAATTATTTACCTGATGGCAGAGCAGTTTATTCGTCAGCTGGTATGAGTGCCTGGACATAGAAGCATACCAGGCAATGTGATTGCGGATGAAATTGCAAGTACTTACTGGAAACACCCAGATTCATGACAGGACGCATTTCATGTGGCTAGAAGGGAACTAGAATGATTAGATAAGAAATTTTCTTGGCTATGGGTCTGGCCTAAGTTTTCTGGCATGCCAGACACGTCAACTTAATTTACCCTACTTCATGGACTCTTTTTCAATTTGTTCTGTGAAGACATATACATACATATTAGACTACCAGAACATGGGTTACTGTCAAATAAGGATGAGAATGCCAGCTGGTTCTCGTAAATACCGACATAAATGCCTATTTTTTTTACTAAAAGTAAAATGCGACGAAACTTAACTTAAAACTTAAAAAAAAAATAATATCTCTTTTAATGCATTTTTTTGCTGGTTTTAAGCCATTAAACACTGCATTTAAATTGAAAATTGTATTTACATACTTTTCTTGTGTTAATTTGTGCCAAAAAAAGTTTGGCTTCATTTGCGCCAAATCGTTGCCTTTATAATCTAAATAATCCCCATTTTGAATTTCGCTTAAATTTCCGCTCAAATTCATGTAGGTACGTGTGTACATAATATTTACTTCAAACATATGTACAAAAATAAAAAGGTGAAAAATCTGATCCCTAAATCTTAAAAACTAGCTGCCAAAAGCATAATAAAATTCTGTAAGCTTTTAATCCGCTCCTAACCTAATTTTTATTGGCTTAAAGTTGTGTGTAAATACGTATGAATGTACTTATTGTATGTATGTGTGTATGCATGTACATATGTATGCACTAGCTTGGCAAAATCGAATGAAACAAAGGTCAAAAAATAAGTTAAAAAATGGTATAGAAATGCTTTATATTTGAGCTGCAAAAATCACAAAAAAAAATATAAATGAAATGCCTAACTATTCAATTAAATATTTCACTGCTTGCAACAGTGTCAATTAGTGAGTCAATGGGTCAGTCATTCTCAATCGTAAACAAATTTCAAAAAGCACCATATGGGTGGTCCAAACATGTGAAAAAGTAAAGTCGGAATTTTTATGCTCTCTCCCCCAAGGATTGTTCTATATCGAAAAAAAGTATAACCCTATTTTTTATTTTGAAATCAAAAAATATTTAGAGGTCGCTCAAAGCGCCCAAAGTTGTCCATGTATTTTATATGGGGGAGAACAACTTTTCGTAGAAATGGTAAAGAATAGCTAAAAATCAATATTTTTCTACCAGAAAACTCTACTTATCTGCTGGAGATTCCCAATAATAATACTCAATTGTTTATTTAACCATTTTTTTTATCGCAACTACAATTTATAGTTCCGCCAAAAACCCACAAAAACTCCGAAAAATTACAATGGGGCGACCAATAAAAAATCGTTAGCATTTAAAAATTTTTAAATAAACAATTGGGTATTATTATTGAAAGTCTCCTGAAGAGAACCAGAGTTTTCCGATCGAAAAATATTGACTTTCAAGAATTCTATACCTATAAAAATACATGGAAAACTTTGAGCGCTTTGAGCGACCTCTAAATATTTTTTGATTTTAAAATAAAAAAAATAACGGTATACTTTTTTTCGATATAGAACAATCCTAGGGGGTGAGAGCATTACAATTCCGACATTGTTTTTGGACCACCCTGTTGTACATACTACATACATGCTCGTACCAAAGGAGTATTCGTGAGTTAAAGAATTTTCCCACTCTGCTCTGCATTTCTCGCTAAACCGGTACATATGTACATATACAATACGTATATATGTACATTAGGGCGGGTAAATTTTTTTGACCATGCGAATATAACATAGGAGGATTCTACGTGTAAGTGTAAGCAATTTTGCAAAAATGCTAAGAAATCTAATTTTGCAATTTGGCAAACTCCAGATTGATTTTACACCCATGGTTTCTTCGGCAAATTTGCTTAGAATTACACGTAGAATACTTGTGCGCTATAGGCACATAGTCGAAAAAATCACCCATACAAATTGACCAGCCCTAATGTACATACATATATGTATACTTACATATGTACACATATATATATGTTAGTAAATATGTATAACTCTATGTTTGAACCCATTAGTGTGCGTTCACGACATGAAATAAGTTTTGAAATATTTTTCATTGTTGTACACCGGCTATTACTATGGCAGAGGGCTGGCTGCCTTTCAGGTCGTTGGCCTCATTTTTTTATTTTATTATAATAATAATGCCACTACATCGTGCAAAGGCAGAAAGTCACACTACAAGTCGCACATATAAAACATATATATACAAATCTTGTATAAAGTAAGAAAGTGTATAACATAGATGCATTTATGCCCATACTTGCATATTTACTTCATTGGAACTTTACATTTACTACACATTCATATTCTCACTCTGCCACAAAAGCTGAGTACCCGTTCTTTGCTTAGTATGAAGTATCTTGAGGAGTTCAAACCTCAAATGGATTTATGAATGAAAGTAGTATTGAATGAATGTGCGTACTGTTTGATACCGTTTAAATAACAAAGGGAGTAAGTTTAACGGCTGAGGTTTATATTTTTACAATAAATTCGATCGCATAAGTAAAAAGACTGAACATTACAAGTATATAAAGTTATTTTTAGCTTCTGAAATCAAAAGTTATTGTATCGCTTTTCAAAGTACTATTAGCATTCGCTTCAAATGTAAAATATGATTTCGCATTGACTTTAAAAACTTAAGATTTCTTGGGCATGCAAATTCTCGTTTATTATACATATATCGTCGCTTGGCGGAAATACATACCTCGCATACGTCAAATGCAATACTACGTATATATATATGTATAAGGTAGTGGGAAAATTTCACCAAATAACAAAGAAACTTATTTTCTTCAAAAGTTTTGAATGTTTTTTTTTTATTAAAATTGTATTGAAATTTGTGAAGTAGGCAAGCATCGAGACAGGGTAACCAAAATAAATTTGTTTTGCGTGCCACCTTTGCGCATCAAGGGACGATACTTTTTTTTTTTTTTTGTTGAAAAAAAGATTCAGCGGAAATTTTTAAGGCAGAAAATAACCAGTAATGCCGGATTTCTACAGGACATTTAAATGACAGAAATTCAATTGACATCAGTCGTAATTTTTCGGACTAAGTCTTTATTTTTCGGACTTAATCGGCATTTTTTGTACTTAGTCCTATTTTTTCGGACTAAATGGCGATTCATTCGGACGTGATAATGATTTCTTCGGACTTAATCGTGATTTTTTCGGGCTTAATCTCGATTTTTCCCGACTTAATGGTGCGTTCTTCGGCCTTAATCATGATTTCTTCGAACTTAATCCTGGTTTTTTCGGACTTAATCGCGATCTTTCGGACTTAAAATGAATTTTTTCGGGCCTGACCTTAATTTTTTCGTAAATACTCAACCGAGATTTTTTTTTGTATTAAATCATGATTTTTTAGGATTGTATTTTTTTCGAGCCTTTTCGGTATTTTTTCGAAACTTTTCGTTACTTTTCGTTATCTCTTCTATACCTGGTGGAATTTTTCGGTAAATTTCAAGGTCAACGCTACATAGAAAAACTAGCAGTACTTTTGAGGAATGCTGAAGGCGTTAAAATACAAAAAAAAAAAAAATGCCCGTTAAATTCGGTTCTAAAAATATTTGGTAAACTTTTTCTTTTAGTATAGCCCTATCCTTTGCTGAAAATAATCAATAGTCAACAGTTTATTAAAACTTTTGCTTTTTATTATAAAATGCCAACGCAATACAGTTGAAAACGCTTTTTTTTAGTACTAAAATAAAATCGCTCACGATTTCTCACAAATAGAACTTAAACTTTGAAATCTATACATTTTCTAAGCTCAATTGTGTTTTTTTTTGCTATTGTTCCAATTCTTTAATTTCTTATGTTAATAGCAATTACTTAGAGGAAACGTTCAGACGTTAAGGCAGCAACTTGCGCTTACAAAAGTGTTTTTATGTATATAAACAAAAAAAAAAACATTATAATTGAGACAACTGTGTGAACCACCATAGACGTAGCGATTAAGCAAAAATTGCGGAAATTACCAAACGGCTAGTAGAATTACCAACTAATAGCACAAATGAATGCCAAGAAGCTTAGTTCCAGCGGCAAAATCTCGCAGTCACAAACAAATCCAACACTTGGGAAGTTAAACTGGCAGGTTCTGACTTTTAGTTGTTATAATATTTATTTCTTTTTTGTTTTCTGCTTTCGTTTCTTAACAACGCATAGCTCAAGATTTTAATTCTCTCTGGCATTTTTAATATTCCTTTACTACTTGCCCATGTTGAATTATCTTGCCCTTTACTGCATTTGCCATAACTCGTCCATTATCAGAAATCTTCATCACTTCTTCTCTCAAACGCAACACTATCGACCGCTTTTTTCAATTAACTATACAAACATACATACATACATACATACATATGTATGTGCATGTGTATGTGCATATTATTATAGTTATGTAGATTCTTACTGGCGCAATCCCCCTGCTTCATTAGCACATAAATTGTAAATAATTAAATGCGCCTTGTCATCGTCGTCGAATCGCACTTCTCACTTCCATCATTCACCCTGCGGCAAGTCATAGGAATGTTAACCTTTTTTTTTGTGTTTTGTAATAAAAATCAAGAATCTTAATATTATAAACTATGATTTCTGCTTTAACAAAATATTCTTCTCTTATTTCTACTTATTTTCCCATTATAGGTCCAATGCACAGAGCTCAGCAACAGCAACTCCGTGATGCGGCTAAATATCAAATACATTTAGGTAAAATTAACCAACTAACCGATCAATCATTCAACTAACCAAACAAAAAAAAAAAAGAAAAACAAATAAAAATAAGAAAAAATCAAGCAATATCACTCATCCACTTTCGCAGCTCTCAGATTTGCACTCTTAAATATTTAATTGAAGTGAGGATTTGAAATGTCATCAATGTCTGATTCCCTTGATTTCATTGACATTTTGCAAACTCAATTTGCTAACTAGGATGATTGCAAAAAATAAATCTAGTCAATAAAATCATAGAATTAAGCAAATATATTCATAGATATGACTCCTTGACCTTTTGAAATACATATTTACATATATATTAACTTTTAAAATCAGTACCGAATGCTCATACTATCGACTAAGAAGGGTTAAGAGCTTTTAACTAATAGTAATGCGAGTTCGTGAAATTAATATCTACTTTTGTATTATATTTTTAAATTTGTTATTTCTGATTATTTAATCGCTGTTATTATTTTTTCCTTCTTTCATACTTAAGTATAGTAATTCCGCAAGAATGCCTTTGTGTGAACAACATCTAATTTATTATGACGGGTCTCGAAAAGAAAAGTTCGGCAGAAGTATATGCCGGTCCATTTTTTTAACCGGAAGTTCATTCCAGAAAAAATTATCCGACAAAAGTTACGTACTTTTGTCCGAATTTGTGATAAAAACATGGACGTCCAGTTTGAAAGAATGGACTTTAGGTATGTTTAACCCACTTCCGCTAGAAACCGGAAGTCGGCAATACGACCAAAAGATAGAGCATGGCCGACTTGGTAGTTCACATTTTTGCACTTTCCATTAATAAACATTTTTTCACGAACTAATTTTTAGGGATATTTTGATATACAACATACAGTCAATCACAGAAGTATTCGTAAATTAGTTTTTTCACTCCTGCAAACTTTTTACAAAATTCATAAAAATGAATCAAACTTAAAAAAAATTTTTATCAAAATTTCAAACTTTTTATGCAGAATTTTTAGAAAAATTTTCAGTATGCAGTTTTTTAGCTCGTTCAATTTTAGTATAATAAAGTGCAAGTTTCAAGCAGCTAAAAATTACTGCTTTTTAAATTTTTTTTTTTTTGTCGAGGGTGTTGCGCATTTTCTTCCATATAAAAATAGATTTTGTTCATGCCTTTTTATGGAAACAAAAGAAGCTTTGCTCGATGCTCTAGCTCTTCGCTTTGCTCTCCGCTCTAGTATGTTCTTAGCCTTGGATAGCATTGGACGATGAGAGTTTTCTTAGAATTTATGAATTATAAAAAGCTGAAAAAATCTGGGCGCGCGGCCCTATGAAGGGGCTATCTCTGTTCAAGTCGATATTTTTATGTATGTACATAAGTATTGAATTACAAAAACAAATCAGACTATCAAATTTCAGTCACGCGGCTCAGAGTGTGTTTTGAAAAATTTGTTAAATTAAATTTGTCGGCCTGCACCTGTCACCACTGCATTGAATATTAATTGCTTTAATAATTGTGTTTTTTTTTTTTATTCTACAATTTAATTTATTTTGTAGGCAAATTTACGACGTTTTTTCAACCTTTTTTTTCAAAAATAATAGCGCAATTTCGAAATTATTCGAATTCCATGAAATTGTCACCGCTCAATAATTTCCAATCAAATATGGCAAGAGTCTTTTGTTAGTTCAAAGCCAGCCAACTGACGCCTGCATTGTCCCTATGCTGCTTACATACTTACATAGCTGTGTTTGTGTACATATTCGTACAATTAAATACGCACGGCTTCGCTTGGTTTGACGGTCATTAAATCTTTTTTATTACATTTTTCGCCATTTTGTTGCGCAATTAAATAACTTTGTTTTATTCTGGGCATGAATTTTGTTATAAATTTCAATTATGGTTTCGTTATTGTCAATGAAAAGCGAAGCTTAACAGGTGGATTTGATTATATTTAATGTAATGTGTAAGTTACTTAAAGGCCAATTCTTATTGTAAGAATTGTCAGCGCTTTGTTCCGCATATATGTATGTATGTACAGTGGCTTGAAGTAAAAATCGGATGCATCTCTCATTAACTCTAGCAATATACATACATACTTATGTATATTGTTTTTACTACCAGAAGACTCTACACATTTCTTATTTGCTCCCATTTTCCGGGCATGCATACATTAATCTCTTGTTAATCAAAGCAAATACGTATTTATTTGCTATGAATGCTGATCCTCCACTCTGCCGCCGTGGAACTGCCTAATCATGACAATTAATCGCTTTGCAACTCTTTTCAGAAATATGCCTGCAGCGATTAATGAAGATATTTGAGAGCCAGCATATGAATATATTGATGTACATAGTACATTAAGCTGGATCGCGAAAGAATTCCTTATTGTAAAGGGTTCGTCTATAGATTGGACCGTACCGAAAAATAGTTCACCGGACACCCCTGAGTCTAAAGTATTTTTGTAAGGCCAGTTCGATTTCGATTTTTGTTTCGTGACAATTCGTCAGCGACCTCGTTGCCATCGAGCCTACAGTGCCCTGGTACTCAGCACAGTGTTAACGTATTGCTCGTTGCCGAAAGTTGAGGCGTGTCATTAGATTTAATTTTTTTTATGATCTTCAAGAGATCTGAATTACACTGAATTGAGACAAACATTTTAGTGAGTTTGGTAATATTTACCAAATTTTGTGAATCGCTTGCGAAAGCCGCAACTAGTTACTATTTTACGTGTAGCACCCTAATGCAATGCATAACAAATAACTAATAGCAGCCTATATAAATGTATAGGTTTGTACGTAGGTATGTATACATGCATACATTGTATTTGTTTTCTAATAAACGTGATTTTCATATTAAAAATGAACAAATAAAAAACATTACTCCAATTTTCGTTTCTTCTTGGCATTGCATTTCCGGCCTGCAGTTGTCTCAGTTGAAAGACGATATTTTTTTATTTCTTATTCACTGCACAGTTTGTAAAACTCATAATTTTTATGAATGAATGCGTACGTACAAATAAATGTATGTATATTAGGGTGGTCCCTAAAAATCAAATTAGAGATTTTTTTCAGTCTCACCCCCTCAATCGGTAATACCATGATCATAGATATCACACATACATTTTTGTCCCAATTGGAGACCGTTAAGGCGTGTCGCACAAGGTGCAAAGTTCAGATTCCTGTATAGAAACTCAAAACATTAAATTAATTTTTTTTTCATCTCGTACCTAAAATCTATACACTATAGTCGAAGGTAACACATATAAATTTTGGTCCGGATTGGAGTCGGTTGAGGCGTGTCATTTGATTTTTTAAGGGCCACCCTAATGTATACATGTGCACTTATGAATTTGTGTATGTACGAAGTGTATGTATGCAATTTACATATAAATTGATGATGCCTGTGGCGCTCATTTGGGTCTCCTCCGGTCTCCGGTCAGTTTCAACAAAAGCGTAAACTGTTTTGTAGTCAATGGTGCGGCAAGCTTGTGTGATAACCCGTTTGGATAAATTAATATTTCCCCCAACCAAAACTAAAAGAACTCATACAAACATACATACACACAAACAGGGTGATTCAATAAGAGCCCAAATTTTCTTTTATAAAAACAACAACAACAACAAAATTTGTGGAGATGATTTTTTTTTTATTTCATCATGTTTTTTAGTCTATGACATTTATGTATGAAACACAACATTCGTTTAATGCAAAAAAAATTAAAGAAAAATATATCACAAATAATTGCTCTCAAAGATCTGCATCTCCCTTGAAACACCCTAAACCAGGGACTGTAACAGTTACAACTTTTATCAAAAAAATCGCTCTTTAACAATTATTTTTTGACTTTTATTTAATTACTCCTTAAATAACCGTTATTTCTGATTTTTAATTTATAAATCCAAAATAACAATTATATTTGATTTGTATCTAAATAATCTGCAAATAACAGCTACTTATTTTTGATCTTAGATAACAGTTATCGAAGACTTTTATTTACAAAAGTCATAAATAAAATGTCATTAGTAAAAGTCGTAGTAAACTTTTGTTTCCCAACACCTTCTTAACTGTGAAAAATGTTAATGACTTTTATACGTATGATTTAAAAAATAAAAGTCGGTGACTGGTTTATATTGATGACTTTTGAAAGTAATAGTCACTGACTGATTTTTATTGATAACTTTTATAAATAAATGTCTTCAATAACTGTTATCTAAGACATATAATATAAAAATCAAAAATAATTGTTATTTTCGATTTATAATATAAAAATCAAAAATAATTGTTATTTTTTTAAATTTTGCATAAAAGTTGCAAATAAAAATTTATTTTCAAATTTGAGTCTTGGTAAAAAAACAAACCGATTGGTATGTATCACTTAGTTGTAGAACATTTCCTTCACCGTGAATTTTTCCATGACAGTTTTCATCAATAACTGTTATATTCGGTCCCTGCCCTAAACATTGCTAGTGGTTTTTTATGTATTTTGCTTTGCAATTTGAATGCGAAAAAATTGTATTTTTTGCGTTAGATGGCTTGCCTGACCTAAAAAAATCAAAAGGAACTAATACAAATTAATGTACGAATACTGGCTATGTATATACCTCTGGCTAAGATATGAATCTGAAAGATATTTTTTTATGTTCAAGTCATCTCGTCGTTTGAAGAAAGGATATTTGCGAAAACTTCTTAGTCCTTTTGATATTAACTTTTTTTGTTTTGCAAAGTAAACCAACCCAGATGTCAGTTTCATGCTTGTTCCAGAAAGGCATACTTTTGAATGCGAATTAGCGTTTTTTCAGCTTAAGTGTTTTCTAGTAAATATTCGCTTTTGTTTTTTGTTTTTGTTTTTGGTTTGTGTGTCATTGCGTCGCCATTTAATTAAGTGCATGCAAAAAGAAATCGCCAAGCTTTTGTTTAACCACTAGAACAAAATCCAGCTATTTACACAGCAACAGCACCAACAAAAACGACAATGTTTTGCGGTTGCTTCTGACGCGTCCAACACTCTACACTTGTCAGTTGCAAA